CACCTAACTCTCATTTCACTGCTTCTCAACCAAAATATCTAATTTGGTTAGGCATCTAACTCTTCACACCTCAACTCATGAACTTTACTTATAGTTTGACTTTCACTCTCATTTCTTTGTTGTTAGCCTTGCATAAAGTTGCTAAAGTATTTGATTTTAATGATTTTATAATTATAATAGAGTTTCTATTTTGATATATTTTTGATTTATTACTAAAATTATATTTTATTTATGATCAGACAATAAATTCAACAAGTTCTAAAGTTTATGGATTTGATGCATCAGTTGAAGGCTTGAGAATCCTATTCTTATGTTGGTTACAAACCTTTGGTTCTTCTTTTTGATTTTTGAATAATTTCATTTTTGTTGGATCAAAGTTTGATAACTAAATGTTATGTTAGCATTAAATTTGGTTTGAAAAAGAAAATGAAGACGGTGATTTATTTTTACTTAATCATTATTTATTTATTTATATCAATCTAAGGTTTGCTTCATTTCTAATAGAGGGAGTTATAGAGGAAACAATGGAAGAAGATGAAGAAGTGAAGTTTAGGGGATGACAAAAATTCATAGCGATGCATTTTGGGAGTAGAAAATGGATTTAGGATTTCAACAAGAAGTGGTGAGTTTTAATGATAGTTAGAACTTAGATTAAGATATCTTAACCTTTAATAGTGTGAGTTACACTTTTTAGATCTTTTATTATAAAATTTAAATTTTATGATGAGAGTTATAAATAGATGGATGGTTTGAATTGATAAATTTAGACTATGAAATTTATATATTTCATGCATTTACCAAAATTTTTCATTTGTTTAAGAAAAAATATTACAATCCATGGAATTGAAAGGTTCGTTATGACCTAAATTCTATCGCTTTGGAAGGAGATAAATCTCACTTCAGAGATATGATTTTCTCAATTTCATTGTTTTTTTTATTAATAATATAATTTAAACCACTTTGTTATATTCGAAAAATACACAGATTATGTTTTTTTCAATTAAATGATAGAACGTGAAATTTCATTGATTTTACAATTCATGAACTTTCCATTCTATAAATTTTATAAAATTTGTATGTATTTCACTTATTATCAATATCGTTACGAAAGTTAATGAAAAAATTACAACTACCTTAATTTTCTAGGATGAAATAATATGATAGGCATGACTAGTTTATATCGAAACTTTTGTCACTTTTGCTGCAATTCATGACACTGGTTAAAACAAGCATAATATTAATTTTGGTGTCTAAACTTTCAAAATTTTAATATTACAACAATAATTGAGTGTTTGAATTTTTTTTAAACTTTGGAATTGGGTGTCTCAATCTGAATCAGAATCATGATCCAGCATTTATAGGCCCCTTTTTTGTTTGCTGGTAGTTAATATGACCTGACTTATTTTCACGTCATTAGTACACATGAATTCCATTTGAATTGTTTCTAAATCCCTTTTTTTACTCTTCATTTATTGCAAAACACATTATTTTTGTCATATACCCCAAAACTCATCATTTAATAAATATCTTCCATTCTCTCTCTCTCTCTCTCTCTCTTTCTCTCTCTCTGAGCACACCCATCTCCTTCCATAGTCTCCTCCTATGAAGTTCTCTTTTCTTTGAACGCACATCTTCTTCTAAAAAAAAAAAAACTTGTATGAGAATCTTTCATTTTTTATTTTTTATTTTTTTTGTATTTGTATTTGATCTAAAACTAGAGGCTTCGAGTAGCTTCGAAACCTTCAATGCCCATAAGAGTCACCCTTCACAAGACTATCTTGGTTTCCAATTGCAAGCTCTCCACCTTAGTCGTCTATCTCTAATCTATTGATTAGTTGTAAGTTTTTTTTCTCTTTTTTTTTATCTGTAATTGAATTTTTTTTTTCTTGTTTGATTGGGCCTTTTGAGTTCTTAAAATGCCAACCTCGACTCTCCATCTTTTTGTACTTCCAAAGAGTAATTCTTTTAAAATACCCTTAACTTTGTGGGTTGTATCGATTGTACCCTAAAATGACCTTAACCCTCAGGACACTGCAATTTTAAACTCTTATAATAATTGTACCCCAATTTTAAATCCAGGTATGAAAAATAAATAAACAACATATAGGCTGTGACCAACTTCTAACTCATGGTTACTTTGTAACCAATCTTGGTGAAGTGAAGCTTCAACGCACTGTTTAAGTAAAATAAAAGGTTGAAGCTTAGAGGCTTCAAAATTGGCAACTTGCTTGAGAAAAATCTGATCATCATCTTCAAGAGTCATCTTAATGAGATTGGATGTTGTAATCACAAGGGACAATATCTTACCATTTACCAAGATTCCTCATAAGTAAAAGCAATTAGTTTAGTAATGCTATTTAATTTTAGAGTTTCACACAAAAAGCATGCTAATTTTCAATCATCATATTTGCAGAAAAACTACCAAGACAGAGAACATTGAACATGAAATTTGATAACATATACATAGCGATTTAAATGTTAACTAAATTTAATTCATTAATAACCCCCAGGGGCGGTGGCAGGTTATATAAACTTTAAAAAAATATTTATAAAATTGGGTTAAATTGATAAAAAAAATTTTTAAAATGTATATTAAATGAAAAATTTTAAGATTTTTTAATCTAATTGACCCTACTAAAAATCAAATTAAATAAATGATCCCATTGAAAAATTTTTCTAGCCCCACCACTAATAACCCCTACATTTCATTCCTAGCTTTCATGGCAGTTTAAACCAAATATTATTGAGAGAATTTTATAAACACAAAATTAATTTACTAGTAACAACAAGATAATTCAAGACTTGGATATGCAATAGAATGACTTAAACTATAAAAATACCTCCAACTATGCGACTTGTTGTACAATCATCATAAAACTACCTCCGTACCCTAGGAACTCTCATTTACAAACTTAGATATATTGGCACTTTAGTTTAAAAAAACAAATCATAAAAAGGATTAAAGTGATATATAAAGTGGGACCTATTGCCTTACCTTGGGTTAGCTTAATCCAAAGAAGCCAAAACTCACCATTTAAGTAGAACTTCCTTAACCCAAATAGATTAATGTTTCTTTCTCCTTTCTTTATCTCAGGTCGCGACTTTGCCAAATTTTTTCTCTTGCTATTCTCATGCTTTCCACTTCGTTTCGCTTCACTCTGCTACCTTTGGTTTGCTTTGTAATTGTTTGTGATTTTTATTTGAACGAGAAATTTAGGTGACGTGAAACCGCATCCAAAATAAAATTCATCTAAGGGAATGAAAAATAAATATCAAACATTTGAGAAGAGGTTAAAACATGGGAGTTAAAAACGAAATTATGAAAGACAACCCTAGGTGTCATCTTTGATAATGACAGGATGAAAGCCCATCTAGAATTCCATTTCCTAAGAATTGACTACAGTGCCATCCCTTCCATGCATTTATTGACGACTAATCAATCACCTAATTTGAAGCTTACACATGTTTTCAATACTCTGTTTAGTATTTACACGTGTCTACAAGATTATTTATGTCAAAGCAATGAATAATATTGAGCATATATTCAACAAAGGAAGGAAGGAACACTACATCTAATTGATTTAAATAACTCTGTGATGCATCTCAGTACTACAAGCATGATCCAAATATATTGCCTTGTAGAAATGAATTTCAAAATGGTCGTATAAATCACCTAATTTGAAGCTTACACATGTTTTCAATACTCTGTTTAGTATTTACACGTGTCTACAAGATTATTTATGTCAAAGCAATGAATAATATTGAGCATATATTCAACAAAGGAAGGAAGGAACACTACATCTAATTGATTTAAATAACTCTGTGATGCATCTCAGTACTACAAGCATGATCCAAATATATTGCCTTGTAGAAATGAATTTCAAAATGGTCGTATAAATCACCTAATTTGAAGCTTACACATGTTTTTTTATTACTCTGTTTAGTGTTTACACGTGTCTACAAGATTCTTTATGCCAAAGTAATGAATAATCTTGAGCATATATTCAGCAAGGAAAGGAAGGAACACTACCTCTAATTGATTGAAATAATTCATAATTTTGTTAATCTATTTGGGTTAAGGGAGTTCTACTTAAATGGTGAGTTTTGGTTTCCTTAAGTTAAGCTAACCTAAGGTAAAACTATGGATCCCACGTTAAATATTACTTTAATCATTTTTATGGTCTAATTTTTAAACTAGAGTGCCAATATATCTAAGTTTTCAAATGGAGTGCTCAGGATAACAAGGTCATTTTTTATAGTGATTTTGCAACAAGTCGCATAATTGGGGGTATTTTATAGTTTAAGTCCAATAGAACACCTTAAACTCACACTTAAAAGAAATCGTCTACAAAGTAACCTTGTCGTGTACTCCTGTCTGACCATAGCTCCTTTTTTTTCCACCAATACAGTAACCACAATTTTCTCACACCTGGCACCACTGCCTCCCACCACATACAATACAATCGTTCTTTGTACTGGGCCAAGCTTCGATTATACATAGCAGACTCTATATAAAACTTCTATGAATTTTACCTTCATAGTCCATCTATTACCACCACTCCCATCTCTTCTTCTTCTTCTTATGCGAATGAAAGGATAAAGATGATACATCGTGGGAGATAACTTTTGGTTAAATGATGCATTAAAGCTCCACAAAAGTTTAAACACACCTGTAGGGAGAGCCAAAGAGTCTTAGCTGTGATTAAAGCTCGAGCCGGATTAGGCGGTCTTGGTATACATGTGGTTTACACACAAAAAAAAAAAAAAAAAAAAAACAAAAAAAAAAAAAAAAAAAAAGCTCCACTAAGGTTGAGGTTTTACAAAAGTAACCACGTGTTAGAAATAAAAAAAAAAAAAAAAAAAAGCTCCACTAAGGTTGAGTTACAAAGTAACCACGTGTTAGAAATGGGTTTCAACTTTGATATTGTTTATCCATAATTAGGTATACTTAATACGAAAGTTTGGAATTAGGAGTTAAAGGTCATTTTCAGGTGCAATGGATACAATTGATACGACCTGGAAAGTTGAGAATATTTTAAATGAATTGCTCGATTCCAAAAGCTTGGACTAGCTGAATAGTGACATTTGATTTGAGGATTCATTGGTTAATCAAATTGCAATGCAAGGATGAGCTTACCGACTGTATACTTCTGAATCACTGGTGCTACATAAAAATGGCTGTTTTATCAGTTGCCTGAATTGTTAATAATTGGTATCTTGTTGATCATAATCTAGCCCTTATGCAGAACCAGTTGTTTCACTGAAAATATGGATCTGCCTTTGTTTATTTGTAACAAATTAATTTTGGTTTGGACTAGATAAGGTAGAGCCCTTTGTTCTCAAGTTGAAAACATTAGAGTTATAATGAAATTCTTAATTAACTTTGCATATGCTGATCTGTAAGTTCTGAAATTCTTAAAACAAAAGATATTATCTCACAGGGAGAAAGAAAGAGAAAGAGAGAGAGTTGCTACCTTCGGCCGGGCCGCCGGCGACATCCACGAAATACACAATTTGACAGTGGTTATTTGGGTAGAATACTCGCTTCACACGGAGCGGGAAGATCAGATCAGAGCCTTAACCTTCGGAGATCATTCTGGCCAATCTACCATCAGCCTTAGCGGATCATCAATAGTCCATAGCCTCCTGAAACCATCAACTTTAGCAATTTGAGGTAACCCATCTGTTTCCAGTATAATTATCCGCAAAGACTCTCTTTTTCTATTTGCTTCTGATTTTCTTGTAATGAGCATGTGTAGCATCTGGATACGAAATATTATAATGTAATCAAATGCTTTTGTGGTGTAAACATTATATTAGAAGAGATTAGGTTTCTCTTTCAATTGCATTTTTAGTTTATGAACTTTCTGGTCAACCAAACAGGCTTTAAAGCTCTCCCTTTGTAGTAATGGATTCTCTTTCGAAGTCTTTCAATCCAAACAAGCGTCTCAAAGAAGAGTAATCTCTCTCCTCCTCTCTCTCTCTCTCTCTTTGCTCATTGTGTCTATATTTGCCAATTTGTCTCATTATTGTGTCCAGATTTGTTAGCAATTTGAGTGGATCTTCCATGCTTGAAATCGCCGCACTTTCTACTATTGTCCCTGTACATGACTTTACCCTTTATTCTCTGTAATTGACCAGTTGATTAAATAATGTATTGCTTCATTTACTTGTTCTTCTGGTTTTGCTTACTTTGTCTTCTCAGCTTCTTTTTGTTTTGCGGCACTCCGTCAATCGTTTCCGTTATAAAGCTGGTAACTTACTGCTATCAATTTTGTAATTTTTATTTTAATTTTTTTATTGTGCTGGAATAAATTTTTTCAGTTTGCTATATCCTTTTGTGGGTTATGTTGCCCTCTTACTAAGTGGGCACACTTATTCTTCAATCATTCATCTAACTTACTTGCTTCATTGATGTTGAATTATAATGTACCATTTTAAATAATGGCCATGGATTGAACTATGATGCAGGGTTTTAATAATGCTCATTTTATAACTATTGGATAAGCCTACTATTATCTTGTTTCCATTTCTCTATGGGCGATTCTTCTATCACCTAGAAATGGTGGATGAAACATGAGAAATAGCTGTCTAATTTGTGTCTGATTAGGTTATTATTCACTTAATATCTTGCATATTTTATAAAATTCTTTTCTATTTTGTTTTATTTTATTAAGTCATTGTTTATTGTTGATTTGAGTGATTTTGCTAATGGCCTTAAAACAATTCACGTCAACAACGACCTATTCAAGCTAATTCAGTTTGATTCAAGTCAATTTTGTAACACGTTTTCTATTTCCATTACTTTTCCTTTTTCTGTTTTTTAAAACCTTGCTATGGTATCTGATTGACAAGTTCTGCCTTCAAGACCTTAATTATAGAAGTAACTCAGACTTTAAGTAAGAAGAATAAATTAAAGAAAGGAAGAAGCCCTAGCCCCAGATGCCAAGTATTTTACATTCTTTTCCTGCGGGCAAAACTATGATTCCCTTTCTTCTGTTGATATTTGATGTTGAAAAGATCACAATGCAAGTAATATCAGTATCTTGTTTTCTTTTCCCCCCACTTTCATAGGTTCTGGTTTCGCGAGGACATTGACAAAAAAAGCTGATGATGCACTTGTTGGATCTAAGAGTTTGGGAAATTACATGGCTGCTTTAACTGTGGATTTTCTATTCATTGTTCTGCCCATGCTTTTGTTTCTTACTGTAAGTGCTTAGAAGCAAAGACCTAACTTTTCATCAAAATGAATGTTTGAAACATGCAATCCAAGTCTGGATAGAAATTCCATACGTTGATTGCGGTTGCATTATGGTTACAAATGCAGGTGTACTATTGAAAATTTGTTCAGAAAAATTACACTATTTGCATGTGTTAGTGTGTTACAGTCACAGTGATTCACCATCATATGGATGTACAAAGGCTGATATCTAAAATAATGTGTAAGATTGCTTCTTTCTGATTGGTAGTTAGTTCAGGAATTAGTATAAGAATTAGCTAAGCAGTTATTAGTTTATTGGCAAGTTAATCCTGTTCATAATCACAGCACCAATATGAATTGGTAATCTAAGATAAACAAAACAATGTCTGTATTGATTCCTGTAATGGATGCACCAATATGAATCAGTAATCTAGCAATATCTGTATTGATTCCTGTAATGGATGCACCAATATGAATCAGTAATCTGTATTGATTCCTGTAATGGATGCACCAATATGAATCAGTAATCTAGCAATATCTGTATTGATTCCTGTAATGGATGCACCAATATGAATCAGTAATCTAGCAATATCTGTATTGATTCCTGTAATGGATGCACCAATATGAATCAGTAATCTAGCAATATCTGTATTGATTCCTGTAATGGATGCACCAATATGAATCAGTAATCTAAGATAAAAAAAGCAATATCTGTATTGATTCCTGTAGGCAACACACAAGTTGGGGAACCACCATCTTTATCTCCTTTTATTTGGTTAAGGTGTCTGATTGATTTCACATTATATTGTTCATTGGTTTGATTGTCTGGACATCCATAGTATGGGTTATGCAGGTCAGTTCTAAGTTATGGACTGTATTATCATGTAACTTAACTGTGCCATAAGCATTATATTCTGCTTTTTGAATTTTAAATTAATTATTGGTGGCAGGTTCTAGCAGAATGGACATTTATGTCAATAGTTTTTTTGATGGTACTCGTTTTCTCTATTGCAGCTAAAAGGTAGAACTTGTAAGTCATGCATTTTCCTCGTTCATACTGTTATTATTTTGTGGGAGTGTTATTTCAGTCATAATTTATAATGATCACGATTATTTCATAGCAGCTGAATCTTAGGTAATACATTGAATATTGTTCGCACTTGAATGCAGGGCTATAGCATCTTCTTCTTATCCTGAAACATCCCTTTCTCTCAGGACAATCATTTCCTCTTACAGGGTTGCTGTGGTATTCAATCTTACTTCATCTGCATGCTTCACGCTTTATTTTCATATTTTGGGTGAAACTATCTTTGGTGTGCCTTTCCTCTTGGTCTTACAAGATTCATTACTGCAGATGGTTGTGACTTGCCTTTGTATATTAGCTGTTGATTTTAGAATATATCCAAGAAGATATGCCAAGACTGAGACCTACGGTACTAGTTTGGTAAGTTTTCAACTGTTTGAACCAATTCGATGAATTTCAATGACATTTTTTCGCTTTCCGGTTATGATTAACATATTTGTTTCACTAATTTGACTTGAAGAGATTGCTAATTTTTCTTAGCTTAATTTAACATACGACTTGACATAAATGTTGAAAGTATATTGTTGTTAGTTTAGACTTGCTTGATTTCTTTTATGGAGCTCATTGTGTCTTTTTCACTTACGATAGCAATTTTAATCCCTTATCCTCACTGTTCTCTCTTAATATATAATTACGGCTTGCCAACTAGAATTACTTGTCAACTTAAGGGCTGTCTGTTTCAGCTTAATAACAGCACACTTTCTAACTTATTCATTCAAAAAATAAGAAATAAGCTTATTTACCTGAGCTGGATCTGTAAGTTATCCGAATTTGCAAGTCAAATTTTGTCTCAATGAAAATGTTCTTTTTAGAGCTGATTCAGTAAGCTATATAGCTTATTGGATAAGATGACATTGCCCTACAGTTATAAATAAGCAATATATCCACTCCTTAATTATTCAACAATCTGCTCTTGATATCACTTCTTAAGCATTCAGCTCAATAAGATAGTAGATTCAGATTCAACATTTAGAATTCAGCTCAAACAAACGACCTCTTAAAGTCGATTTCTTGATGGAAATCTATTCATCAACTACTAGACTATACAAGCTCTGTAATTACTAATTTTTATTGTTATAATATTAGATTTTTTCTGATTGTATACTCTTTTCTTCTTAAGAAAATCTATGATAGAACAATCTATCACTGAAATCTATATCTATATGTAATTGGATAATGCAGTCTTTTGAGGGTTTGAAATTTGTGCAGAAATTACTGTGTAACTTATCAAATCTTCTTTTTCATGTGTAATTCCCTCTAATTTGTACATTTGCATGTGAACTAAATAAACATCTCCTTTTTCCTGAAATAAAAATAAATTTTGAGGGAAAAGAAAAAGAAAACTATGATTCTGAGGTGAGTGTTTTAGAAATCTGAACAACACAAAATCGAAAGCAACACGAGAAGACATAAATTCATTTATGATAGGTAATGAGAAGGAAAAGACAGAAAAAAGCATAATAGAGCACCCCAGATTTGCCAAAAGCAAATATTCTTCTACAACATTTTTGGAGCAGGCCTGATCCGGTCATCCAGAAGCTTACTAGTGGGCTATCTAAATGCTTATATTTATCCTTTTCCTCCTACAAATCTTCTGAAATGGTATTGGGTTACACTATTCTCTCACATTTGGAACATGCAATGTTCTTGTGAGAGCCTGAATTAATTTGGCTCAGTTTTTCCTTGACAAAGCAATACATGTAGATACAGGATGTTGTGAATTGCAAATTGAATGTTTCCCGTATGTTTGGTTGGTATCCAAAAAATGGATGTCCTTTATTTGCTTTATACCAATTTGTGATGACTCGATAAAACCTAGTTGACAATGTGTATGAAGTAGGCCAAGTCATTTGGCAGAATGTGAAATTCATGTTAGCTACCCAAGTGGTTATAATTTCTGGTGTTGATTCATGACATCACTGGGATGGCCATTATGCCAAGGAATGTCGGGCATCCATTTTTCTTAATCATGGTTTTTTGAGAGCAAAGAACATGTATTAGTGGTGACTCATGACTGCTATACAATGATAATGGCCAGTATTTGCTATTATGTTAGGGCCATTAAACTTTCAAGCCTTAAATACTAAAAATTTCGTTATTTTTAGATTATTTTGATAATCATCTTCTATATTTTATGCTAATAACAAGCAAATCTCTTAAAAAAATCATAGAACTATATTCAAGATTTTTTGGAATTTTGTTGCGTAATGCAAGTAGATACTAGAAATTCTTTCACTTTTATTTTCTTTGCTTTATGTTTTTAGAATCATTAGATTCTTTTTTGGTGATGACATGAAGCTTGCTAGAATTTTTTTTTTTTTCCTTTGCTTTTCTTTGAACTTCACTGATGAATACTGAATGTAAATTGTTTCTGTAATATTTTTAATTCGTGCATTTTATGCTCATATATTAATTGCACATGTTATGCAGTTTGTTATTCTTAGAAAAGAGTTGCAGCATGATGTTTTTTTTTTTTTTTTGTATTAAGTCTAGATAGCCTTGATTCAAAGATGCAACTTTGCCTGAAAATTATGGGCATCACACCGCATCTCCTTGTTTACACAAAATGTAGGTCACTATAAATAAGGACATACCTATGCTAAAGCAAGTAAAATACAGTGTACATGTTACTCCTGGGGAAAAAATTTTCTTCGTCAGAAAAAATGAAGAGTCAATTGATTTTGTATTTACGATTAGTTAAACGATAAATTGTCCAGGTTACTTTACAATTAAGTTATTTGTGCCTTAAGATATGTATTTGTGTTTGTTACTTTTAGAAGTTTAAGTTACTATAGCAGTTCATGAGTTTTGGTTATTTTGGTCCTCCTATCTTCTTTAACTAGGCTTTTACATAAATGGTGCACTGTAAAATTTTCTTGCAGCACATAATAATTCTACTCAATCAACTCTACTAAAATTTTACTCCCAATTTTGTTAGGATCCATTATGCGGATTCCTTTCCTTCATTCTGCTAGTTTAGGGCTCTATCTGTTATAGAAAGCTATAAATACTTTCAAATCATTCGTCATCATTTTCCCTCAGGTAATCCTAGGTCTAAGTTTGTAGAAAATGGATTATTGTTGAGAATTTGTAGCTTTGACACTATTTTGGAGTATTGTTGTGTAGGGTTTTCTCTGTGTTGTTTTATTCTCGGTCAGTCCTCTTTACTAATTATGAGCCAATGTTACCAACAAACACTATGCCTGCAGAGATTAATGTTTGTGATCAAGTAATCCAGATTATGGATCATTAATCAGAATGTTCAAAATCGTGTTCTAAATTCAAAACAACCATGGGAAGGGAACCAAACGATCTTTGAAGGGCTTATTAGTTGTAGTTGTTTGATAACGGTTATTTATATGTTACTTAAAGTCTCAATTTGACTAAATTCATTTAAAAGATAAGTAAAATATTTTAAATTAAAATTTGCATTAACTACAATGCGTCGATGGACTTTTAAACAGTTTTTCAAGTTTAAAATGTTGGCTCTATTTTATTTGACACTCAAAATTTAGCTCTTAAATTTTCAGAACTTAATTTTCAATTTTACCAAATGCCATCTTAGTCATACATTATCAGATGTTATTATTGAGCCACAAATTCCAGGATTTGGATATGCTTTTAAAGCATTGAAGAAGTTAACATGGCATTTTTTTAATTAAGACAAGCTATTGGATAGTAAAAAAAAAAAAAAAAACTTTGTAGCTATTCTTTTCATAATCCAATATCTAACATTCTGCATAGAGTTTTTTACATATTCAAAATGGATGGTTCCCACTTGACAGCCAGAAAATCCAAAAGAAGCCTATCCCCACCGCACTACATTTTTAGACAAGGCCATTTGACATTTCTATTTCTGTTCCACTTACTGAGGTCACTTCAGAAGTATAAAAAATTACTAATCTATATAGAGCCATCAAACCGGCCAACCAGCAACCTCTAGATAGCCTAGTTATGAACGAAATCTGAGATCTGCAATTCGAATTTACATTTCATCCTTAAACACTAACCAATTCTTAATAATCTCTAATTTTTTCTATGCTGAATCCTTATCTATAGGACGAGAAGCATTCTTAGGGCTTTCATATGTCAAACTATCTGCCAAACTTTGTCAATGGAAACAGCTGTGTTGAGTTCAGAATCCTTTGTAGATTATTTTTAATGGTTTACCAAAAACAGTAACCTTTCTCACTTTCTCTCTCAATCCATCACCCTCTTGAAATAATGAAATGTTATATGTGGCGATTACTTTTGCCTATTTTGGCTTATGAGTATGAATATCATGTGATGATGTCAGATGGATCTTGGGGTTGGCTCCTTTATACTGGCGAACTCACTAGTTTCACGGCAAGCGCGAAAGGTCTCTTCTGTGTGAGTCATTCTATACTTTATGCAGTCCTGTACATGCTGGTGTTAACTTTTTTATTTAAAAAGTAAAGGTGATGATTGGTAATGTCAATCTATGGTCCTAGATTGATGACACATTATAAGGAAGGCAACACTTGTTTTATCTACAACTTAAGCAAAGAAATTTACTAATTGATTGAAGGTGAAGGATAGAAGACCACTAGACTTGAGAGTTTTAATAATGGTGTTGAGGGAGTTTCCATGAAAAGGATTAATCATTTGATGCTGTAGTGACTGATTTTGAAGGTGGTTGCACAGGAAAAGAGCCTCAGTTGGTTACCTTACTGTTATCATGTTTCAACTTGTAGTTTTTTATGAAACTACGTCATCTAGCATAATGCCAAGGTCTTCTCTAGCTTGCATTTTCTAGTTCCTTTCAGCAACCAGTTCTCAATTGTCAAGATGTCAATATAGATAATTGGGCTCGATGTTTGGTTTAGTGCACAACTTTTTGTCCTACATTTTACAAAATATATTTAGTCCTTGAATCTATAAATATCAACATTTTGGTCCTTCATAATCTGAAACATTAGGTTCAAAAAAGTATTTATTTTTTTCTTTGGACTTCATTTTGGTCTATAGAAGGGTGGAACTGTTGAATTTTATAAAGCTTATGGAACGAAGCATGCACTGGACCAAACAGAGAATTTTTTTTTAAACTGATATAACTAATTGACTGCAGATAACAAAATGTCAGAGGAAAATGCATATCATCTTTTAGAGGGGCCAAGTGATCTTGGTTTCGTTGTTTGTGAACCCAGATATTATGTCTAGCTTTTACTACAGAGTAGTCTTGATGCTTACCTGGCCAAGGTTTTGTTGTATGTTTTCATTGAGATGAAGCATAAAAATTATTAGTTTCAATTGATGTATTCACCTGCTGTGTTGTAAAGCTGGACATTTCAGATGCATCATGCAACTCATGCTGGATTCTTTTGATAATAGCTGTCTCTTGTTTGCATAATCTAAAAGCAGATCCACAGATGTCTGTACGGAATGAAATGAGTAGACCAATGGAATGACATTTCAATTATTATTATATTTCAAATAGCTATGAGTTGGTTGGTGTTCTTATCAAATACCATTACCATACTGTTTCATTTTTTTTTGTCTGAAAGAAGAATAATGAAGAGCTGTATTTCTATTATTTTTAAAGATTGTTTTCTGAGCATTATATCCTTTATTATTCAAAAAATGCCTCTTTGAATTGATATGCTTGAACTTACTCCAAAATTACATTATTTATTTTTCTTCTATTATAGTGTGATAGTGCTGGGTTTTACTTGTTTACTCATGCCATTTCAGGAACTTGAAATCTGCCATCCGATCCACTAGTCCTCTGCTATTGCTGGGGTTTGGTCGACTTCTATTTACTAACACTGTGGACTATCAGGTATATTATATATATTTTGTCAATTGCATTAAATACTGAATTAGTGATAGATACAGGCCTTCAATTTCTTAGTCAGGTGGAGATCTACATATGTATGCGTTCTCATAAGAAAACATAGTTGGTTTTGAAATTGAGTGGACTGGTTATAATATGAAAATACCTGCTGCCAATAATGGGTAAATGTCAAGCCTATGATGGATGTTAGCTTAAACCTTTGTTTATCTTCATGATCTTAAATAGAATAGTAAGGAAAAACATATGAGATTCTTTTGGAGCATGACCTGTATATACTTTAACCAATAAACTATCCAATTGATAAACTCAATTTGACAGGGATTATCCCGTTGTATGATCTTGTCTGTTACTACAGATAGAGAATCCATCAGCATTATACAGATGGCTCAGTTCCTATTGTAGGGATGTCATAGACATCATAGATTTAATTTGAGTGGTATCATAATTCTGCACCAAAATTCTACCTTTTGAAAATTTTCCAATTCACAGTAAAAGAGAAAAATAGATCAAAGTCATTGTTCTTATGTTGAAAAGCTAATATGCCATTTATATTCAGTCAATCATTGAGAGAATCAGTGCAGAAGAATGACAATAAGCCCCAGTACTAATTATGAGATCTCATTCATAGGCTTCTGAAAAATGAACTTTTAGTCATAATAGTGAACTTGTAAACATCTTTTCTCCAATGATTTACTCTGTCTATTTTGCTATGAATTTTTATTTCATTGCTATTTCTTAACTTCCCATTCTATCACTATTCTTTTGCATGATTCTGTTTCTTTACTTTTTCATTGTAGCTTCATACAGGCGAATATGGAGTGCATTGGAACTTCTTTTTCACACTAGCTGCCGTGTCTATCCTTACGTCTGTAATTAATGTTCCTCCACAATATTCAGGAATCCTAGGTTTAGCAATTCTGATTGGTATAATTTCAACTGAACATATTTTCTAATTACCTGCGGAAAGATTTTTTTTTTTTTTTCGCTGACTTTGATTTGTCAGGTTACCAATCTTGGTTGATTAGTGGATTAAATGTGTATCTGATTTCTGACGAAAGAGGAACAGATATAGTAAGCAAAAACAAGGAGGGAATATTTAGCATACTTGGTAAGTATACTTCAAAATCAATGAATTACCTTAACTCGTTATGAAATGTACAATAACATTTATAATAGTAGTAATGCTCTTATTCTTTTTTTTTTTTTTCTGAAGTATTCCTTCCTCAAGAATTTTATTAGGCTGTCGATAACTATTGAATGTACTAAGGAAAGATGGTTTACAGTTATCAGTTCTGATAGATTCTTTGATTTCTAAAGTTTCATTTTTCATTTTTCTGTTCTTTTAGCAAGGTTCATCCATGGCTTTTGGTTCTACAGATATCTAAAATTTTCTTTTATTAAGCCAAATCTTTTCATTGAATTGTAGTTTTTTAACCTCAGATTCAGTAGGCCTTTTCTCATTCAATTACTTGGTTGGGAACATTGGTTATGTTTCTGATGAATTAAGTTACAGTATCACTAGCTGACACACCTAGGTTTCTTGATGGGGTAGGGCAAAATTCCCAATTTCAACTCAAATAAGCATGCTTTGTTTGTAATACATTTGATAAAAGTCTCAGTCATTGATTTGTTTCCAGGCCAAGGAAGATTAGATTCTGATGACACTGTTACTATCTTAATTCATTAGGTACCAATGGCATTGGTCTAACAAATTAATAAAATATAATAGCTTCAATATCCAAACAGAGAAAAATAGAAGAATTTGTTGAATGGATTATTTGGAAATTAATAAAACTTTGAGTCTGTCACCAGTGTCTGAGTTCACTCGTTTATCTTATAAGTTGGAGGATTAGAAGTTGGTTTTGTTTTCTGGACTTTGCATATGCATTTGGCATAATTTTCATGTTTCTATTTCTGATACAAAAATAATTCTATTTACCTTTTTTTCATCATTTCCAGGATATTGGGCTATGTATCTTGTTGGTATCCAGTTAGGCTACTACCTTTTTTTTGGAAACCACTCCTCTAGTAGAATGAGAAGCAATAAGTGGGCAAGAATCAGAGTCTTCTTTCTTTCTCTCATTTTCTGGTATTTTTCCATTTCAAGAAAAATTTTGTAATTGGCATCCTTGCCAACAAATTGATTTCTTGGAACATTATGATCACTTTCTTTGTCAATTTTTCTTGCAGGTTTATAACTGTAGTTCTAGATAGACATGTTGAAAGAGTTTCCCGTAGGATGGTAGGATATGCTGCTTTGTTAGTTAATTCATTAAAATGTCAGAACATTGCTGATGAAAATGAACAAAAACTTTTTTGCAGTGCAACATGGCTTATGTTACCCTGGTGTTGGCTCAAAACTTTCAGGTAGTCCCCTTGACCTCAGTTTCTAAGGTCCCATTTGTCTTGCAGGGTAAGATTAGAACTGGTGACTTCATAGGTGAAACTGTTATGATATGCTGACTAAGAGGAACAAAATAAAGAGTAAAGTTTAACTGCTATATTTCCTGACTTTTAACAAAGTAACTTCTTGAGGGGAGTTGGCCAATTGAACTTCCTGAGCAAAAGAACAATAACCAAATTAGCATTTAAATCAAGACAAAAAGATGTCTTACAACATATTTTCTAGGTGGCTAGTAGCCGTTCAAGGAAAAACTATGTAAACCAAATACTTTGCTACAATTTCTTAAGGAATAATTTCCCCGGCAATAAAAAATAATTTGCATGATGACCAAGAGTAAATGATTGAAAAATCAACTACGCTACACAAATCTGTGGGTTTACTAACATACGAACATCCTAAAGGCTGCTGAGGATTCCTTGGGGTGGATTCTCAAAAATATGCATTCACAAGGAAAGTGAAGATTTTGTATTTCATTCGATATGTTGAGCATATGCATTATATCTATGGGTTTACTTTAGAAGTGAAAATAATCTGTTCACTGTGGTCTTTGGATTGAATGGAAGTCAGTGTTTGTCTTTAGAAAAATCAGCATATAACTGAAAGGAAAAAGCTTTTTGGTTGATTTTGGAAACAATAAGCATGAATAACTCGTATATACTTGTCTAGCAAGGCAGGTGAATGTGATAGTGATTTTACAGTTAGCTGCCAGTGATGTTCATGCCATTCATCACATGATCAGCAGCTATTTTTGTCTGTGACCATTCACTGGGGCCTTGTGTTGGCTAGTATTTCAACCCACATGGTGGGAAGGAGTAATTTGGTTTTGTTGAAAATGTTATTTTGGTGGTTTTGTATGCCAAGAAAGTGCTTCATTGCATCACTTGAAAAAACTTTACTCTTAATGGTGTGTTTTATATACCAATAAAGCTGTTTTATATGCCAAGAAAGTGCTTTATTCTGCCAAATCATATGTTGGAACCGTCTTCAAAGTTATCAAAAGCAAAAACAAAAACATGGTTTTGTGAAAGAAATAGTATACAACCAATTTCAAGCATGTTTTGTTTATATCTGAGATGTGGCTAGACAACTTCTAACTTGTTTGAATTTTTCATGCTTTTCAGGTTCTGGCCATACTAATGCTCTCTGATTTCATTTCTGGAAGTAAAATTTCAGCTCTTGAAGAAGCAATCGACCGGAATTTACTAGGCACATTTCTTCTGGTGATAAAACATTCTCTATCTATTTAGGCACTCTTAACATGCTTTGATTATTCATCCATTCAACTCTTTTTTTCCCCCATCCGCTTCTCCAAACAGCCTTTGGAGATCTTACTTCATTTTCTGTTTTCTTTTGTTGCAGGCAAATGTGCTTACAGGGCTGGTAAACTTGTATGTGGATACCCTGTTTGCTACATCACTATCAGCCCTATTAATCCTGCTTGTTTATGCTTATGTTCTATCTATCATAGTTGGAATTGCAGACTTTTACAGTGTCAGGCTAAAATTCTGGTAGCGGCCTTGCTTTTGTATAAAAAGTACCCTTGGATACAATTTGTTTAGATAATCAGAATTTCTTGTTGCAGGCTGTGGGTCAAAGTTCGATGTTTTTCTCTTGTGGTTGGTATTACGCATTTCAAATGTAGGCATGATTTAATATCTATATGCTTGGAGATAATTTCATACATACAACTTTGTTGCTTGCCTTCTTTTTTCTGCTGTAAGTTTTTCTAAATGAATATAATATTACTGCTAGACATCATTGCCATGATAATATGTGGATTCTATCTGGATTGTAATATCGATGATGAAAATTATTGTCCCTATAGCGAATAAACCATCAGTCACGCGCATGTACTTACCGATATCCTTCTTGATGAGACAAAACTGCATACTTCAAAACTTTAGCTCATTTTTAACTTTGCACACATCTTCTTTCTTCTTTCTACTACATTTTATACCGCAGATGAACTATGCAGGATGAAAGAAAGCAGCTGAGAACAGTCGATTAGCATTATTAGGGAGAAGAGAGATAGGATAATGAGTTGAAAGTTGAATTATTAAGATTACTAGAAGGTACTGTATAAGGGAAGCTGATGGTGATGAATTTCTCTGCAAAATCCGACAGCTTGGACCCTGGTCAAAGATCAATCACCAATTTCAGGTACTTATCACCAGATAAGGTAATTCTCACTGTTTGTAATTGTCAGAAATGCTGTGATTAAGGCTACGATTTAGGGCTGTAATTATGGGATTATGTGCCATGGTTAAGGCAAGAACTAAGGCTATAATTTAGGGCTGAGATTAAGGGATTATAGGGCTGTAACTAGGGCAAGAATGAAGACTGTGATTGGTTCAGCAATTAACAATCTGTTTGGATGGGTGAGAGAAGGGTAATCAATGGAAGGGTAAGGGAGGGCAAGGAGGGGGAAGGATAGGGAGAGATAAAATAATATTAATGTTTGAAAAGGGGTGAATTAGTGGAAAGGGAAAGAAAGATAATGCATATTCTTTGTGTTTAGAAAGGTACAAAATTACTTAGTTACCTCTCCCTCTCCTTGCTTACATCCTAAATTGGGGTATAGTAAAATTTGGACTTGAGGTAAGGCTTATCCTTATTTACTCTCTCCTTCCTTAACTCACGTCTTCCCAAACGAGGATAAGTATCTTAGATACTGTTCATTCCTCTTATGTATCCCTCCTTCACCTCCAACCAAACAGAGCGTAAGGAATTGATTACCCTAAATATATATATATATATATAGAAGGAATAGATGCTAGAAAAGTTTCAGCCTCATTATCAATCTCTCTCTCTCTCTCTCTCTCTCTCTCTCTCTCCTTCTTGATTCAGCCTGACACTCTCAACTCTCTCTTTCTTACATAATTCAGCATCTTATTCTCAATCTGTCTTTTTTTTTTTTTCTTACATTGTATTAGAGCTTGAAACGGCCTGATTTTCCCTATTTCTTCATCCTCTTCTTCCCACTAAAATTCTTCTACTTTCTTCACGGTTTTAGTCACCGTGTTTTACCCTTTTCAGATTTGTATTGATAGTGATTCAATCGTAGAGGATAGTTGGTGATGGGGTGACAATTTTTTGGCAGAGAGAGGTGGACGCAGATTGGAGATAGGAAGCAGATGGAAAAGAGAGAGATGAAATGGAAGGGAAAACCAAAAAAAGAGAGAAATAAAGGAAAAATGGTGAATAAGAGGGCTGACGTGGAGTGTTGAGTGGGTAATAAAAGAATTTATAATTGAAAGTTGCCAAATGTAAAATAGGTGGTATTCTAACTGATCAGAGTGCTTGACTGCGGACAAAGGTCTTCTATTGTTACATAATTGGAGATCGAATATTTTTAAGTTACAAATTCAAGCTGATATGCCCATTATGCCCGTACAAATATACTCCCCTTGTTTTCTTTATATAGAGATAACTGAATTTGCATAGAGATTGAGACGGTAGTTAAACTGAATATTTTTTCCTAATTATGCATATTTTACCCCTAAACAACATTAAAGGAGCTCTTTATTTGATGGATAGACAACTCATACCGGTAAACTTCCAAAGCAACATTAATTACAGGATTTCAGCCAAAGTGGAGGGGATTTGAGCCGAAATTGGAGAGAATTCTGAGATAATGGAGTTAATTTCTCTATTTTCAAACTTTCTCAATTAAAATTCCACGTTTAAAATTTTGAATTTCCCTTATTTTCTAAAGTCTTGAGCAATTTCATTTATATGCACGCAAATATGATAAAAATGTGGAGCCCAAATTTTTGATACTCTCACTGTCTCCTCAACTTCTAGAATATGCATTTATATGAATTGGGAACAGAACGTAAATATGTAATTGTATTCATAAGCTTTTCAATCTAAGGGCAATAGAAAGAGGAGAACAATATTTTTTGCATCATGAATAATTCATTTTCATCTGATCTCAATGAAGTTCCAACAAATTCGCCCACACATTCTTATGATATACACAATTTTCCAATTGCCAGACTTGAACTCCTTACCTAATGCATAAAAAAGCACTGGTGGTTCTTGAAATGAGTCATACTGAAAATGTTGTTGCAGGCAATGAGAAAAGAAGAAACAAAAACAAAAATATACCAGATCATATAAAGAATTCTATAAACACCAAGGTTTTTTCTGAGTTGCAACAAAAAATCCATTAAGATGTGGCATGACAAGTCATTCTCTAGGGCATAAAAAAGGGATGGGTTTGTAAGTGATGCCTCTGGTACAACTAATTCATAATTATTGTCGATTTTTTTCCCACTTTGTATAACTTATTCAGAATATGAGCAGGAAATTTTCGTCTATGTTCAATTACATTATAAAATTACATTAAATAATTCATAGTTAACAAAATTCATGTATATATTTACAAGGTATAATATCGATATAAAAGGGTTTTCAAAATTATAGTGCAACTATCTACTTTAGTGCCCATATTTTGAAAAATTTCACAAATTCTCGCTTATGTTTGTGCTTACATCCAAAAGTCTACATTGCTAAAAATACACATTGAAAAAATAGCCATCCTTCTAGACTTTGAAAACTTAAAAGCATTAAATGTCTTTTCCTTTTTGCCTACTATTTTTTTTCATTCAGAGACTTTGAAAACTTAAAAGCATTAAATGTCTTTTCCTTTTTGCCTACTATTTTTTTTCATTCAGAGACTTTGAAAACTTAAAAGCATTAAATGTCTTTTCCTTTTTGCCTACTATTTTTTTTCATTCAGAGACTTTGAAAACTTAAAAGCATTAAATGTCTTTTCCTTTTTGCCTACTATTTTTTTTCATTCAGAGACTTTGAAAACTTAAAAGCATTAAATGTCTTTTCCTTTTTGCCTACTATTTTTTTATTTTTTTCATTCAGAGAACAATCTGCACGCGGATTATAAAGCTAAAATGAGGATATCTTAGTCTTTTCATTTGACATTTTTTTCAAAATTTTCGTTTTAAGTAAAATTCTTCGTATAAAAAAAAAAAAAAAAGGCTCAAATTAGAAAATTTTTATAAATAAAAAGAACAAAAGAAGTAATTTAAGTCCTTCCAATAAAATTAACTCTGAAATTGGATAGATGAAACTTGTGATCAAGATTGGATTCGTCATTTCACGTGCCAATTTCACCATTGGTTCCTGCGAATTGTTTTATCATTATTCTTCTTTATTGTAACGGTGGATGGAACCGGTAATTTCAACTATTTTTTTTTTATTTTTATTTTGAATCGTAGATGACAATAAATGAAATCGTACTGATTCCGAATCAAAATTCCTGAACCGATTCTAGTTTGGTCTTTCTCTGTATCAGTTTCAGCCTGATTGGTAGTTAGGCATTGAAAACAGCAAATAGCTTTCTGCGAGTTCGGGCAACCTCATACTTCTTTCCGTACGAATAAATAAATTCCAGAACCATGAAAAAAATGGGAAAAATCTATAGGCAGTTACTGTCATTTCGTTTTCTAAGGAATCACATTTCGTTTCAGGGTGTGAAGTAAAGAGAACAGAACAATTTTATTGGCTTACCCACAAAACATGGGATCCATAAGATTCAGTGCTATGGCGGTTCATTGCTGCCCACATATTCTAGACCATACGATCTGTATTTCCTACATCACACGGCAATAAATGGTAACATCATTCCCGCTGGAAGGATATGGACGTTAATCATTTAGGTTGCAAAATGAACCGACAAAGTCCAATCAGGTGTGAGCGACAGGTCCAGATGAAAGCTTGCTCCATATTACACGTGCCCACATTCTAGTGATCATACGGTAAATGCTGATCAAATAATTTTTCTAGAAAATATTTGTTTATAGTATTTTTTTAGAAAATAATTCCATTTTATTTTTTGCATTAAAAATGGGGCCAATGGTAGTCTTGTACTTTTTTTTTTAGATTAAAGAGTAACTTTTTATCCATAAAAATAAACTATATAGCTAATATTAAATAAAAATATATACAAAACGACAAACCATGATAAAGTAGATTTAAAAAACAATCTAAATAAAAATATAAGTATATTTCTATAAGTATAATTTAATTGATTGTTTTATTTAATTTTCTTATTAATACGAAGAGTGAAAGGTTTCACATTTGAGATTAATGCAAAAATATAATGTCTCCAAACGGTTTATAATATAGAGAAATAATAATTTCTATATATGAGATACAATAGCTTTAAAAAAAGGAAAAAAGTATAATAGAAATATAAGCAAAAAGAAAAATATTAATAAGAAATTACAAACACAAGAAAAAAAAAAACATATTTGCACTTATCGCAAAACAAAAAATTAGGAAATAAAAACAAAATTAGTGACAGATCAAATTATTATTATTATTATTATCATTGTGATTATTATTATTACAAGGTCTTGCAAATTAATTATTATTATTATTATTAGTAACAAAAGAAGCTGGATAAAATAATTATAACGGTGACAACAATAATTTAGAATTAGATCTAAGAATAAAATCTCAATATATTGACAACAATAAATCTAATAATTGGATAATAATAAGTACAGATTTGAGAATTATTTATAAAAAAAAATTAAAAAAGAAAAAAAAAAAGAAAAAGGGGTGATCATCAGTGAGAGCTCACTGGTGGCCGCCCGTGAAAGAAACAAAAAATGCTTTTAAACTTTAGGTTTTGGAGAAAAAGGGGAGCCGCTTGTCTAACTTCCATTAGAATAGCTATTGCTAACTTTTGTTCAAATTTAGATGAGCAATAATAACTTTTATGTAGAATGATAATTTTTTTAATTTTTCAATTTTGGTTGAATTATTTATCTAACAGTTTATTTTATTTATTTTTTAATTTTTGTGAAATACAAATTTTATGAACGAGATTAGTACCATTCTAAACAAAAAGTGTGTGGACATATTATTAGAAAATTGAAAAAAAGGAATAGAAATTTTATTTCATAAAATTGTAAGTATATTATTTATTATTCTATTTTGCAGACTAAGCAAGGGACAAACGAGGAAGTTGGTGTCTTTTCGCCGAGTAAAAATGGATAAAATAGTATCCTTTTTATTTTAAGATATAAAATCATTTTAGGGTGATTATTTTATTTTAAAATATAAATTATTTTGAATATTTTAAAAAATAATAGATGATCTTTCTTTCAATTTTACTTTTATTTATATTAGATATAATATAATAATACGAGACAAGAGTAAGACGTGGGATAAAAAATAATTCAGTTGATTATGTTAGTATAATTTAGGAAGTGTAGACAAAAATTTAAAGACCTAAAACACTGAAGTTTTATGTGATCAATCACAATATATCATGTGGCTGTAAGACCTAAACACTGAAGTTTCATTACATAAACATAGTCAAAGGATCTAGATTACAATTAGATGCAATAAATGCAAGTGATAACAAAGGGTACATAATAAATATTATAGATGGGTGCCCATGAAAAAAAAATAATGGGATTGGACTTTGGGATGGGAAATTAAGGCTAGTAATTAAAAATTGTGAATGAGAAATCATAATTAAGGGACAAATTAGTTCAATCTTAATCTTGATTAAGACAATTTGTTTCTGGCCAAAATCTGGCTGGTAGTCCTTTCTGGGGCACTGGAAATGGGTCATATTGAATTCCATCTCCTGATCCCACCACTTCGCACCTGCCACATAAAAGAAAATATGAGCTAATAATCCAATAGTTGGAAATATGTAATCCCCAATTACAAATTTTCAATATTTAAATACTCCATCTGTCTCTCATATATATTACAAATTTTCAATATTTTAAATAGCTCCATCTGTCTCTCAATATATATATATAGTATATATATAATATTATGGGCCTAATTTGAATTTATATATATATAGGCCTAATTTGACATTTATATAGATTAAGGGTCTATTTGGTAAAATTAGCTGTTTTACTAGCTGTTAGCTATTTTAATAGTTTTTCATAAAACGCTAAAAGTTAACTTTATATGAGTTAATTTTTTATAAAACAGTACATTAACTTTTAAAAACTAGTTCAAATATTATGTTACCAAAAATTATAAAAATAATATTTAGTGTTTTGACCAGTTACTTAAAAAGCTGTTGCCTAACACGCTCGAAGAAAAACTAGTTAATATAGTTAAACTATATTTTTTTATTTAATTTTTTTTTCAAAAATATCACTTTATAATATTAAATGATGTGTATACAATTGAAAATACAGATATACATTAAATAAGAATATATTAAGAAATTAAATAATAAATGTCTTTTAAAAAAAGAAATAGGACTACACTTCAAAATTGACCAAAAGAAAATGAGTTTATATATATATATAGACATTGGAGGGAGTATATAATATCCATTATGTACCTGAATTTGGTTACTAGATGATGGATCATGATTAGCATCTCCAACTTAGCAAGTTCATTACCAGGACAAGCATGAACTCCATTGCCAAATGGAATGAAGGTATTGGGTTTTGGAGGAACCTGCATCCAATTTGAAACTTGTTTTATGCCCTTTCCACTAACTTATGGCTTCCAAACACTTGTCTAGTTAATAAGGAAAGAGAGAGAGAGATATTATACTATTGGATACCTCAAACCTTGATGGGTCAAAAATATGAGGATCAGGAAAGAACTTTGGATTGTGATGAATGTTCCTGAACAGTGGCATCACCTTCCACCCATTTGGTATTAAATATCCTGTACATACATATATACACATGTATATAAATTTTTGGAAACTAAAGAAAAAATAATTGGATGCTATAGTTGCTCTTTTTGAATGCTATTGTTAAAGACAGAATCTTCTAGATCATTATAATTGTCCTTACCCTTATATTCAACATCCATTATTGCTTCCCTGAAGGAAAAAGATATAATGCTTGCCATTCTTAAACTCTCTAGTATTACCTGCAAATTGAAATGGAAACACTGTTTTTAAATCTAACACTTGTCTAGAAGCATCTATTCTGAATGATGTGATATTATAATTTTATTCAGAAGTAAATGTGCTGATCAATACAAAATGTAAATATTATTAATGCTTATGACATGTTAGAAATATGAAAAATGGTGAGCCTATACGCATCAAATAGCTTTTTTTTTTTTTTTTTTTTTTTTATACGCATCAAAAAATAGCTTTTTTTTTTTTTTTTTTTTTTTTTATTGGAAGACTTCAAATAAGCCAAAATATTTTTTTTTTTTTTTTTTTTTTATTGGAAGACTCAATAAGCCAAAATAATATGGTGAACTATACAGTAGAGATATTCTTCTTTTAATTCACCAAATAGATTTTATGGTTCACTTCTCACCGTAATGAGAAGATAACCAGATCTCATGTGGTTGACAGATTTTCGTAGTTTTTGCAGAGAGGCTGCTTTCATAACTTGAGTCGAAATTTGAAAATTTAAAAATCATGATAGCATAATTTTACCATTACACCAAAGTCATACTCCATGAATGCATACCCTATAAGTAAGTGGCATATTCCTTGTCTGTGCCCATGTCAAGGACTTCTTTCCTCTTTTATTCACTTCATATATTGCCATGTGCTCAGCCTGTGATTAATTAATATATGAATAATAATTAGTTTTTTTTCATTTTTTAAATGGAAATTTCTTTGTCTTTTTATTTTTTGGAAAGAAAAAAAATAAGAAGAAGAAGAAGAAAGATTTCTCACCTTAACAGCTTCTAAGAGTTTCTGATCATCATGAAGGAATTTCAGAATCCATGTTAAAGCACTAGCAGTAGTGTCTTGAGCTGCAAAAAGTACTCCTATAGTATTATCAGCAATATGATCTAAACTTAATATTTCTCCATTTTCATCCTTGAAATTAAGAAAACGACTCAATAGATCCTTCTCCAACAGCTTTTTCTCTTTCCTTTCACTTATGATCTCTCCCAGGATTTGATTCAATCTTTTTCTTGCCTTTGATAATTACATATATACAAAAGAGAGATGAAAAAAAAAAAAAAAAATTATATACAATTACCTTGAAATAATATAAGGAATAAAAAACAAAAAGAAAAATATAATATAAGTTATCTATAAAAATAGATCCTTCACCACAGCTTTTTTCTACAGTTCCTTATCTCCAATAATAAATGAATCATATTAACCACAGAATTTTGATTCAATCTTTTTTCTTGACCTTTGAATATTACATATAAAAATATATACAAGAGAGATGAGAAAAAAAAAAAAAAAAAGAATTAAAAAATATTAATAATAATCAGATGAGCTGTAATAATTGATATATAATATAAAAATTTAAAAAAAAAATAATACTTTGTAAAAAAAAAAAATGCACATATATACTACATTAAGGGAGAACTAATACAAAATAAATAGGATGCTAAAAGTGTACAAACAAATAGACATATATATAGTGGAATAAGTAATCACAAAAGTATAACCAAAGGAAAAATTTATAAAAATAAATCATAGAAAAAAAGTAAATATAAGAGAAGAGGAATATAATAAATAACCCAAATGAGAGTCAATATATAGAAATAAAATTATAAGATATATAATAAAATATATAGAATAATAATAATAAAACTATAGTTGGTTGTAATAAAGAGAATACCAAAAAATTTGAAAGATAACCACTTGGAAAGAAAGACTTGTGGCAAGAGATAAATATGAGCCACAAATCAGATGGCCGAATATATCTCTCCTCAATTACATAACAATGACAAATTTCTGAAGGAAAACATTAATGGTGGGACATTGCATATTGCTAATAAGCCTCAAAGAAATGCTAGTAACACAAATGTGATGTGGTGCACACACCAAGAAGAACTGGGTGTTTTTTATTTTTTTCTTTCCTGCAATGTACGATTAATGTTTAAGTTGATCATATATCGACTCTGCCGACGTTCTTATTCAGAAAAAGGCATCCAGGAATAAACGGCCAAAAACGTTTCCTCCAAAAAAAAAAAAAAAAAAAGATTAGTAGAAATATATGCTATTTTTTTAAAATTAAAAATATACTTTGTTATAATAATTAAGGGACTAAAAGTATGAGTAATTACCAAAAGTGCTTTTTGATAAGTAGTTCCAGGAATTTTTGTTAGAAGAGAGTTATAGCCCTTGTCCATTATTTGATAATTCTCATTTAGCTTCTCTCTATAGTTGTTGCTTAAGAGACCAAAAATTGAAAGAATGCCCACTTGGAAAGAAAGCTGTGCAGGATAAAAAAATATGAGCCACAAATCAGAATAGACACAAAAGTCAAAATTAATAAAATAAAATGACAATTTTCTGAGAAAAACATAATTGGGACATTCATATCTAGATAAGCCAAAAATGAGTAACACAAATGTGACATGTGTGCAACCCAAGAAACTGGGTTTTTTTATTTTTTTTCTTTCCTGCAATTAAATTAATAGTTTAGTGATCAAATACCTGCGACGTTTATTCAAAAACATCCAGAATAAACGCCAAAAACTTTCCATTTAAAATTTTTTCTATATTAGATCAGGATCAAATACTAGTAATTCTCATCTCCTTTAGAAGTTCCTGATTTATCAAGAAAAAAAAAAAATCCAAGTAATGGATATGTGAAGGAATTACAAACCTTCTTCATTTCATGATAGGTGTTGACGATTTGCCCATTAGCCCATGATTCTAAGGTAGAATTGGTAAAGAATTCAATATCCGGAATGAGTTTTCGGATTGTTTCTGGGGATAAAGAACCTTGAACAATTTTTCTCAGGCGATTATGGTAATCACCTTGATGAAAAAAGAGAGCTGATTGTCCAATTAGCCTTTCCTTGCTCTTGGGATATGTTGGCTTGAACAAGTGAGAATGAGTCACAAGAACAAATCTTGCAGCCTCAGGACTAGCCAACATAACACAAGGGCAACCAAGTATGTGAGTTTTGAATATTTCTCCATATCTGCAAATAAATTAAAGAAAAAGAGAAAAAATTAGTGTGTCTATATATAAAACTCTTTCAAAATAACAATAATTATTTAATAATATACTAAGAATAATGAACCTTAGCTGCTTTGTAGCAAAGAAGACATTTGGGTCTTGGGAGTAAAGTCGCAGAGTTTCACCTACATAAGGCCAACCCATTGATCCTGGAGGAAGCTTAGCTCTTGGTTTTGATTCGTTTCTTTTTTTCTTGATCAGGAGGTAAGAAAATAGAGTAGAGAGAGAGAGGAATATGTATATAATAATAGAAGTAATCTCCATGCAAATGTAGCTCTCTCTCCCTCTCTCACACTCTCTATTGCTTGTCTGTGTTTTTTGGATTGCTGTTATATATGACTATTAATTGGTCTCTGATATGTTGAGTTGATGATGGTAACTATAACGTGAGTGTAATAAGTGAGAGAGAAAGAGAAGAGTTGGTGTTTATATAGAAGGACAAGACAGACTGTGACAATTTTTTCCTTTTTTCTTTTTTTTTTTTTTAAATTATGTGATACCAATAAATAGATCGAAATGATCGACTTGTCTAGATCCGGTCTATAAGCCATTTTACACCGAAGAAAAAGGATAAGGTAAAAACAAATTTTTAAAAATTTTTATTTTTGATTTGATTAATGAGTGAAACTATAGACATTTATATAAGTCTAATCCAGGAAGGAAATTCCATTCATTGCATATATTATTGAATGTAAGAATACCAACTAATGGTTTTTTTTTTTTTTTTGATAAAATATACTGTATAAGCATTTTGTTTTTATATAAAATGAATGGCTAAATTAGCTCAATACTTAAGATTTTATATATCGAACATTAATGGAGCAATACTGCATGCCAATCATACGAGTTTAACAGAAAGTATACAAGCTACGTTAAATACAAAAGTTAACTCAATTTAGGACCATACTCACACCAAAAAAACGTTTTACTTATTTGGGACATGAGTTTGATTTTTATTAAGATTAAAATTGAACGTTCAATTATAGTATTCTGAATTTTCTATGTTTTTAAAATTTTATTATCAGGAATTTTCATGGATTTCGCAGGAATTAGTCAAAAACAGATTCTCCAGATATAAAAATAATAGAAATCAATAAAAAACTGATTGTCTAGATTTTTAGTCTCATTTCAAAAATAAAAGTGACTAGACGAGGGAAATTATCTATTTTAATTAATACAAAACTTTTCAAATTTTTTTATTAGAAAAAGATAGAAGTAGTCAATCCATTGGATACCTGATATAATTCGACCTTGATGAGTTTAAATTGTGAATAAATAAGTTCAGGACGAGTCTGAGTAATATTTTTACTACTACTACATATTTAGTTCATATTGGATTTAGGTTAAGAACTTGGGTATTTGCTACTGATCAGATTATGGTTATCAAGAAGAAAAAGAAATTGGTTTTCAATGAAAAAATTGTCATATTTCTTTTCTACCTTCCACTTGCTTTTCAATGAAAAAATTGCATTGTTCTTATCTCTCTCCTCTAACCAGTCAATTCTAGACCTTTGTAATCACATAAGCTCCTCCCTAGCTGACAACTCCTTAATATTAACTTCTACTGACTTTTGATTAGCTAATGCCTACTCTGATTACGATTTTATTTGTCGCTTATGAATTTTCTTTTGACAATCCGTTAAAACCCTATTCACATTACCAAAGTACTACATTTTTCTTAACCTCATCACCTCTCTACATTGCCTATATTTATCCTTAACCAAATCAACAATGCCAAATAATTATGACTAGAAAATGTAAATAGTAAAAGGTGTTCTTCATCATTAATATGTTTGCTTGCGGTAATTATGGCCTTTATTGAAATTTTTTTTTAAAATATCATATATTACATGAATAATGTTGGTTCAATGGCGTTTACAATCTTAAATTTTGATGATCAACAAAAATAATAAATTGGAATAAATTATCATATAATATGTTTTTTGAAGTCTTGTGTAGAAATTAAATTAAGTGATCTCATCAAATTGAAGACTAAAGCTTATCCAAATGAAGACCAATAAGGCGACTTGAAGAATTGAAGGCAATGTATTGAGTAAGTTAGCCTAGTTAGCTTAGTCTAGTTCATTTTGTTAAAATAGAAAGATAAATTATGCGTATTCTAGCTAAATCAAAAACATATTTTTAGCCTTTTTTAAAATATCTACGTAAGGAGATCTTTTTGTTAAAATAATATTTCTTGAAATATTAAGAGAGAAAAATGTATTTCAAATCTTATCTTTTAGAAATTAAAAATACATTCTTTTTAGTAAAAAGATTTAATGGCAAAATAAGATCTTAAAATTAGGTTGGATTTTTAAATTTGAAAAGACCCACTTTTTATAAAAAGTACTACATCCCAAAATCTTTATCTCTTTCATGCTAAAGTTTTTCCGCCACTTTACTTCTTCCCTCTTATTCTTTCTAACGTTAACCTTTTCTTTCTAACGGGAGAAAAGGTTTTTTCTGGGTATATAAGGATGGCAGAATACTTGATCTAGTATGAGAGAAAATTTGTGTTTATTGTTTTAATTTCAAAACTCTCATCATAAGCCTTCTTCTCATTCTTCTTCTTTATGCTTCAAATGTATTATTTCTAAGAGAAGAAAATGAATCATATTTTGAGAGAGATTTTCAAAACTGAATTGAAAAACATTTTAAAATCTCTTTCCGAAACTTAAATGGGCATAACTTTCTTTCTATTATAGGTTCTTGTTAATCTAGAATAGAGTAGAGAAAAACAAAAATGAAAAATGTTGTGAGAACAAAGCTTGTGTTCTTTAGGTAATCAAGCACCTCTCTTTGAGTAAGAGCAAGTCTTGTAAGTTTCCTAATTTTTATTAAAAACTAGTGGGGTTAAGTTTTTATCTAATTCTTTGTCAAAACTAAAAAGGATAAGTTTATAAGTTATTTGAAAAACTTATGGGGAATGGTTAGTTCTAGTTGTTGAACTATTTCCATTATATTTGGCTTTGTTGTTGCCTTTGAAAAGAGTTTGATGGTGAAGGATCTCAAGATAATTTCTTGAGGAGTGGATGTAGGCGTGAGAAGTGCTGAACCACTATAAAATTGATTTTGTTGTTTTTCTCCTCTTTCTTCTCTTGATTGCTATATTCTCACACACTTACTTGATTATCTGTTTATGCTTGATGAATCAACTCTGTTATTTATGTTGCACCGTGTTTATTTGACTTTTGAGATTGCTTAAATTAGTTTTTGACTTACAGAATCTCTTTAGACTAATTTCAGTAAGCTATATTCAGTAACTAGTTGAGTTTTACGTTTTAATGTCTATGATAAATCAAATTGAATTTTTAATTGTTTTATATATGGTGATTATTTGATTTGAGTTGGTATAAAATGTTGCTTTTGCTGTGATTGTAATATTCTCAAAAAAGATTAATTTTTTAAAATACCAATTCACCCCCACTTGGATATTTGCTTATGAGAACCTAAAAATAATAAAAATCAAACATCACAAATAATTATGACTATATATAAAATTTACTATTGCAGTCAGCAAAATTCACTGATGTTTTAACAAATAAAATAAAAGTTTTAATTCTTTTGAATAATAAAACTCACACACATGAAACTACCAAAGAGAATAAGTTTTTCTTTTAAATTTGGCAGATATGAATTCATTCTTATTCACATCCATATAAGATCTTCTAAGAATAATCGAAAAAGGAATTCTTAAAAGAATCCGCAACAGATGTATAACATAAAAAATAAAAAAAAAGAAGAAGAAATTCTATAAAGGATTTGCAAGATGTATAGTAGAAGCAAACTCAATTTTGTCTCAAGGCTTCTAGATCATGATAATTTAATAGAAAAAGATTTATAATTTCATATCTCTCGACCGGTAATATAGGTTTGTATAAGTACAAAAATTAAATCTTTTCAAAAAACAAAAAAAATGACTATATAAGGCAATTTAGCTAAGAGATTGATTTGTATAGATCAGATTTTTGGGCCCAGTAATGGATTCAACCAATGAAAAATAATATTTGGTTGAAATGATGACCATTCACTAGAGAAAAAAGAATAAAGTGGAAACACTATTTAAAAAACCTTTATTTTTATTGGTTTAATAGTATATGCGTCGATAGAATCTAGACAAGTCTAATTAAGCATCTGTATAAGAAAAATATAGAATTAGTCCCACCATATTAGAAATATGTTTTCTTATATCTTTATTAATCTGATTTCACATCTTTAATGATGGTAAGATCTTCTCGTTCTTATATAGTTTGAGGTATGTAAATGATAGCAAGATTTACTTTGATTATAAGTTAAATTTATAGGCTCAGTCACTATTATCAAGTTAGCTCGCGACTTGTGAGCCTCTTTATCGAGATAACTCGCAAGTCACATTGCTAATCTCAAATTTGACTTGTTTATTACATGAGTTCGATAAATAAACCTGAATTTAACTCGTTGAGCTTATTGAATGAGTACTTTTCAAGTTGAGCATCAAACAAGAGCAATTTAACTATTTTCGGTCCATTGATAACACCTTAATAAAGAAATGTAACTTGTTAGTTGAGGAGAAAATAGTAGTATAAAAGAACTTACAAAGAAACTATAGCATATAGACATATTTTTTTTCTAGTAGTACTTGTAAAATAACATTAGCTAGGATAATTTGGTAGTTTTGGCTAAAAGCAGAAAATAAAATAGATTAAAAATGAAAGCATGTGAATACAAAATTCTAAATAAAAGGTACGGCTACAGTAACCTTTATTATTAGTTTATAGTGGGAAAGTATCCTCCAATCATTTTATTTCTAAAGTGCCTTTTAGAGGTAACATACCTTATTTGTACAAAGAAAATTCTCATTTTTATTAATTAAATTACCATCAAGGTCATTATATTTATTTCTTAATCTAATTTTGTCTTGAAAACAAAATATATATTTATTCATAAAACATTGTCCCTCCAAACAATTTTTTTTTCCCCTGAAAATCATAATACGGTGGCAGCATGATCCAACCCAACTTGAAATAAGTAAATTGCTTTTAAGTTTCACTTGAAATCCCTTTTCAGGATCAATTCAATTCACTCGCAATTTAAAGTGGCTTTTACACTCTACGATTTAAACAGAATTAGTTAATTCCAAAAAGGATAAAAGGATACATTCTGATTCTATCATAAAAACTTGAATTGGTTCGATATTAGTTTAATAAAATTACTTATTTCAGTAGCTGTTATATATCATAATAGCTGTTTTAACTAACGTTTGATCAAATATTAAAAAAAAGTAATATTTTATAATTCACTCTCTCAAATAATGTTAAATAATAAAGATAGTGATTTAACCATAGTAATTAAACGTTGAATGCAAACCTAATAATTTTTTTAACTATAATGTTCGGTAGAGAAT